TTTTTTTTTTTTTTTTATGTCTGTTGCCACTTTTTCTCAGCTCTCACTGAACCGATTTCTTTCAACGATACGTTATAAGATCACAAATCGTATCTAGTCGAAGACATTACCCTCAAAAATTATAAAATTTCCCTCTTTCCCCGTAAATGGGGGAAATCTCCAAAAAAATTATAAATTGAAAAATTGCTAATTTTCGACATTTATGAATTTTTTTTTATTTAAAACTGTTATAACTTTTTTAAAAATAACTATATCAATATAACTTTTTTTATAGATGCATGATGTCTTTACCTTTCTTTTGCTATATTTTTTTTATAAATCTGATCCTTTACCTACCCTCAGGAAGGATTTAAAATAACAACTTTTTCACAAAAAATTTAATTTTTCAACTTAACTTTTGAAAGTATTCCGGAAAGTCTGACACTTTTATAAATATATATATATTAAATTAAAGCTAATGTAATGTACTTTATTGTGCAAAAAAAAATTTCGGACTTTATTTTGTCTTCACGGTAAAAATGACCACCAAATGCTATTTTTGTGTGAAAATTCTGGATTTTAAATTTTACATTTTTACACTATCTACAGATTTGCATCGAAGTGTTTTTTATGATAGTGAATTTAATCACTTTCAGATATCATTATACTCGATCCAACTATGCCACACCCCCACTATGCTGGGTTTTTTTTCAATATTGCAATTATTATTTTTTGTGAAATATAATTGTCAACGATAAATAAATTTCTCTGTATTCTTATGTACATAAATGTTTTTAAAAGTATAAATGTGTAAATACATTTGTGTAAACTTTTATTTAAAATTATTTGAAATATTGTTTTATAAATTTATTTATGAAATTATTTGAACGTTTTAATTAATTTTGATAAAATTTAGAATAAAAAAATCAAAATTTTCAAGAAAGAATTTTAAATATTTATTTTTAACAACATTTTTTCCATCTCCAATTGTTTTGCAGTTAGAAATATTTTAATAAAACCCTACTTTTTATTTTTAAGCAACTTTAAACTAGCAAAACGTGACAGTGCAAAAATAATTAAACTTTAAATTATTGACAGAATGGGTTATTTCCTCTCATAATTTTCTCTTAAGCTACATTGATTTGAAACACAATTTTAATATCAAATTCTTTGTATAGTATTTTTTGAAAACTTTTAAAATCAAAAGAGGCGCTGAGAACTGTGATGTATTATACGATAATATATTTATAGACCCTTTAATCAAGTCTAATGGTTGTATTGGATTAGGTTTAATAATAATTACACTGGTATATAAAACTTTGTCTTATTATTAGATTTCAATTTTTTTTTCATTTGTTAGGTTAATTAATCAAGATTATCCCAAAGATTGGGCTGGTGTATCCTTAAAAAGTATAATGTTTAACCGCTTGCATTCCATACTAGAGACTATTGTATTCGCCGCTGCAGCGACAAACACCGCGCTGTTAAAATTGACGTGTTTAATCTATTTGATGAATAAAAGCAGAAAGTATACTTACTTCATGCTTAACAGCTTTTGTTGTAGTGTCCACTATGCTTAAATCTAAACATTTGATTGAATTGTACATAAATGTTTTATTTGCATTATCACAATTTTTTTATTTATTAATAATAAATCTGACGTTGAATTTTCTCCAGAAAGTTAAATTTTTAACTAAATATAAAAATATGTCAACTTTAAGTCTATAACAACAATGTAAGAATAAAGTTAATTTGTTTAGTTTTTCTTATCTTATCTAAAGTAAATAATTAAAATAAATTAGTTTTTAAATTAACTTAACTTATGTATTTTTTAAATTAATATAACTTGGCGAGTTAAAACACATGTAAATTTTTCCAGTCTTGATAATAATAAATTCATTTAAAAATTAAGTTATAATGCTTTAATAAAAATTCAATTACTGTAATATGAATAATTTATTGTATGTGAAACATTTCAATTGTAACTTTTTACAAATATATTTTCTTAATTTTTGATTTATGTTTAGCTTGAATATAAAACATTAATAAGTATATATTAAATAAATATCGCGTAGATTTTCCCCTTAAGTAATATACAGAGTGTTCAGTATGTAAAGAAATGTATTTGTATTGTTCATATTATTTATAACAATTGATCTGTTTCCTTACTTACTGAACTCGTTGTATAGCAATATTATAATGATATAATACAAGTTAATTTGACTTTTCTAATTTACTCTCAGGTAAAATGTCGCCCCGAATATCATTTCTTGGATTAACCTCGAAATCCCTACCTTACCTACACGTAATATATATCTGGTTTTAATTCTTGTTTTTAGTACATACTGTGCTGCTAATGAGCCACTTATAAGAATTATGAAAAATACCAATATGTAAGCCACCTCACTTTTCTATTAATATATTTTTTCATTTATATTTATGTTATTGTTTTTTATTATGTCATGTAATTATACTTAAAAAAAATTAATCATATAAAATTTTAAAACGCTAATTATGTTTAAATACCTATAAATACTAACAATAGTATTTATTATATCATAAAGTATGTTAATTAAATTTTACCCACAAATTTACAACTGTTGTATTACTTATTATCAATTTGCATCGAAACTTTTTTTATAACGATGTTTATCATTCTCAAATTTCATTCTAACTGGGTTACTACTTGGCTTAATTACTTTTATGTTGGTAAGAATATATAATAGATTTTTTAATAATAAATTATTTGATTCTTTAACACAAAATTATTTATTGAAGTACTAACAAAAATCATTTCAATCAATTTAGTTTTATTTGTGCTAGTTATTTCGATGGATTTGCTTATTTCAATGAGAATAAATATAATATTTCTATATTTCTGTACCCTATCAAAATGTTATTTTCTAAATTTATATTAACTGGTGTTTAGTGCGATCAAATGTTTCTTTGATGTAAAAATTATTTGACTCGTAAGCGTAGTTCATTGGTTGTATAAACTCTTATGTGTTGTCGTCCTTGAACAGCACTTTCACTAGTTTGGTCCGGGCCTAGCAGCCCATAAAAACGACTGAGGTGACGTAACGTTATTTGTACCGTTGGACCTGATAGTCATGATTTTCACTTTCTATTAGCCTACTGACCGACTTGCTCCTTTCTTAGTAACGAGTAGTTTGGTCACACAAGTTAAAAAAGAAAGAGGAAAAAAACAATGTTATTTTATCAATATTAACTAAAATATTCTTAAAATTAAATTACTTTATCTCTTTCAATAGTAAATGTACCATGTATATAAAGTAAAATCATACTTGTGCATCAAATGTAGATAATCTGAAGTCACATTTTTTTAAAAATGAATAAGGCTATTTTTAATAACTTTGAACATTACAAAAATAGCCTCAACTCAATTTCAAAATCTATATATACATATATATGTGATTTCTGAATCTGTTTACTATTGGTATACAGATATATTGAAGTGATTAGCGTACAAAACATATTAATATTTATATAAAATATTTTGCTTCAAATGAAAATAGAAATTCAAATTTAAAATATTAAATTCAAAAAATTCAAAATTATAATTTTAAGATAAATTGACAATTTCTGAGATCTTCTGAAAAGTTTAATATACTCATATAATGATTCTAATCTACAGGGTGTTCAGTAAATAAGGAAACGAATTTCTATTGTACTCATTGTTTGTAACAATTTAACTGTTTCCTAACTTACTGAACACTCTGTATAATTAAAGTGCAGGCGAGAATAATACACTATATAATTCTTATTATTAAACAAAAATGTATAACACATTTTCGGATTTCAATTTTTGACAGAATATTATTGTACTGATAATTTTGATACATTTTTAAATTAGAGAAATTATCTTATCATTCATAATAATTGTATTAACACGGAACCTGTGATCGTTCAAATAATTGAAGGGTCCATTGTAATAACCGAATATTTCCATTTTTTTTTTTTAATTGTTCATAAGATACAAAAAAATTAATTATTCTAGTACTGATCTCTTTATGTTAGTCATTTTTATTTTTACGATATTGGTTATTTAGTGATCATATAATCCCGGCGATCATGCCAAACTGTTAAAGACATGACTCTTTCATAAAAAATAATCTTTATTTAAGCCAAATATTTTTACATCAAGTAAAAAAGTAGTTTTTGTTTAGATTGAATATGAGTCTTTTAATTGCAAAAGGATATATGTCCAAACAATTTTTTTTTTCTTAATTTTTTTCTCCTATTTAATTGTAATTTGTTCGCCAAGAAAATAAAATTACAAATTTTTTTTTGGACATACATCTTTTTGAAACTACACGAATCATATTTTGTATTATTCATGATATCCTAATTTAACATAATATATATTCTTTAAATACTTTAATTGTTAAATTATAGTAAAATCAACATCATTGGCCCAAATAACAAGATTTTTTTACTACTAAGTTTAACCTGTATAACATAGTAATCCTAAATAGATTTCATCATTCTTTCAACATTTTGTATAAAATTTAAATAACTTTATATTATTGAACGAATAGTTAAAATTTTTTTTTTACTTTAAAAATAATCAGTTGCGTAGACAGAATTTTTGTTTGAGGGGTGCTATAGACCTTTTTTTTTTTGCCTTATCACATTCTCATGTTAGCGCTAAAGTCATATACTGTCAATAGTAGTTAGAGGAGATACTCTTTTAGTTTCCCCATTTATTATACCTCTGAACATATAATTATAATTAAAATACTACTATTTATATGTAATATGCAAATTACATATAAAAAAACATTACATCATAATATAATAGAGCGGTATCTTTATCTTTAGAATTTTAACACCCCTAAGTTCATAAGACTATTTGCACTTATAATCAACACATTCAGAAAAACTGAATAAACTTCATGTTTTTATAAAATTAAAAGAATATCATTAAATAATAAACATCGTATCCTCAAGCATAGTTTTTTAATTATATTATAAATTTTATACAAAATATCATTCATGTGAAAATATCGTGAGAAACCTGCATAAAAACCTACAGGTATTGCATTGTGAACATACCCCAGTTCAGTTACCCCTTTGAAATAACACCGTGAGAGTAAATCCTTTGCAAAAGTCGCATAATAGATTGTTGTATAAAAAGGCGTAGGGAACGATTGTTTGCACTTGCTTTTCTTTTAACCAACAGGTATAAAAATATTTCACAATCAAGGGGTTGAGTTTAAATATTTGATATTATTCACTCATAAAAATAAATCACAGAGTTAAGCAATTCTCTCATAGCACACGCCAATAATTTTTTAAATGTTGCTCCCAGCGATTCACCCCATGAATTTTCAAAAAGACATTCTCCCTCTTTAAAACGGAGCATAACAAAAAGTCTACTTTTCATAGATTATGAGTCACTCATGCAGCTGTAAAGTAAGATTTCGTAATAAAACTGTTTAATAAATATATTTTTTATAATAAACACCATTCTATATAATATTATTATATTGTTTGTTTTTACTGTAAAGCTTAAAAAGGAGACAATAAATTAAAAATAGCTATAATTCATTACATTTAAAGGAATACCCAGGAGCCTCTACAAAATAATAATTATAATGTACTATAAATATTATCTAAGGTTTAAATATCACGCAGTAAAATAAATACCTACCAAAATTTTATTTAATTTAAAAATATAAGAACATATCGAACCTCAACAGATTATAATATAACCTAAATAACTAAAAATATTTAACACAAAAGATTTCACAATTAATTTCCTTTATTCCTCTTGTATAAACAGAAAAACTCGCTTAATTGTCTCTCTTAATATATGTTTGATTCACCTACCGCTATATCTGGTAGGTATTTATATATATATATACATAAATTTACTTTAATAAAGTAAATTTATTAACTACTATTAGTATTTTTTTTTTGAACTTCGAAAAATATTTTTTCATCTATCATATAAAATAATTGTCTATTCAGGTCATATTTTAACATATAAAGTGGGTGGAATTGGTACTACCTAGTACAAATTACTATTATCTAAATGTTAATAACCTTGTTTCTCATATTTTTTTTTAACATTCATTTAAATAATGAAATTTTAACAAAAATATTTATAAAAATTTATAAATTATCTAATTATGTTTATTATAAATAAACAATTAACATGACGATCTCAAAGCTCAAAATTTTAAAAAAATGTTAAAATTTGTAAATTTTAAATCATTTTCGTAAAATTTAATTTAAAAAAAAAGTTAACAGGAAATTGTTTGTTAAATTTGTAATTTACCCACAAAAGTGTTGTCATTAATTATTTATACGGTCTAAAGTTTTTTGTAAAAATTACAAAAACCCCGATAAAAGTAATATTTTGTAAAAATTGTTCGTTTTTAAGTTTTTGGTAATTATCTTTTTAAAGGTTAAAAATAAAAATTAATTGTATACGACAAAAATTGTTGTAGTTTATTTTTTCTAAAAGAAGTATAAATATATAATTTTGAGTATAATATACAATAATTTATTAGTTAATAATAATAATTTATAATAACACTAAAAACTAATTGTTATTTTTAATACTTTTGGATTATATTTTCAAAAAATATAATTTTTTCGTAATTTTCCTTAATTTTAAAGAAAAGAGTTAACTTACCACAAATTTATATATTTATACTGTTTTTAGAAAAATAAATTACAATTATTTTAGT